ATTAGATCTCGGAAGCTAAGCAGGGCCAGCCCTGGGGGAAAAAACACGAAGACGAAGACATCATTGGATTTATACCCCGCCCTTCACTCGGAGTCTCAGAGCGGCTTACAAACTCCTTTGCCTTCCCCTCCCCACAACAGACACCCTCTGAGGTAGGTGGGACTGAGAGAGCTCTTCCCAGAACTATCCTTGAGAGAACAGCTCAGAGAACCTGTGACTCACCCAAGGTCATCCAGCAGCTGTAAGTGGAGGAGCGGGGAATCAAACCTGGTTCTCCCAGATTAGAGTCCACACACTTAACCACTGCAGAGCTCTTTTTGTAGAAAAAGCCCAGCAGGAACTCATTATCATAATAGGCCACACCCAACACCAGAAACTCATTAGCATATTAGGCCACACCCCTGACAGCACATTTTATTAGCACATTAGGCCGCACCCCCTTGTTACCAGAAGTGTGGTCATCCAGCCACACCCACCTTTTGCTCCTTATTCTGTTTACCTTGTTTGTTGTCAAAACCCAGAGGGTTTTTTTGTAGCAAGAACTCCTTTGCATGTTAGGCCACACACCCCTAATGTAGCCAATCCGAATGAGTTTCTGCTGTTGGGTGTGGCCTACTCGGGAGCCAGCCAGAACTCCGTTCATGTGCGTTCCTGCCCAAAAATAGCCCTGGAGACCAGCAAGGAACTCCAGGGTTGCTACGCAGAGGCAGGCAACAGCAAACCACCTCTGTTCATCTCTTGCTTGGGAAAACCCTACAGGGGGGCCAAAAAACTGGCCGCAACTTGATGGCACTTTCCCCCACCACAAACACACAGTGATAATGACAAAGGCAATGAAGTCACAACCCCAAACCTTCATGCTGTGAACACAGGCCCAGATGATAAAAATCCTCTGAGAAGAGGACTTTAAAAAAAAAAAAAGAAAGAAAAAGAAAAACACGAATAGTTGACACTCAACATGTATTGTGTAATACTTTCTGGTGCTGCGACGCAGAGCAAAACAAGTCCCCGAACCAGAGATTGCAGAGTTGCAGCACTTCCCTTTGAATTGACATCAGTTTGGGGGAGGTGGGAATCCGCAGTGGCAGACAGGGGCATCTCTCTGCTTGCGGAACGCGAGACAGATTGAAGCATCTCCGCTCGCTGTCAACCCCTTTCCTCCCCTCTTCCTGCACATTGTTGAGTGAGGTTGGCGCAGCCGAAGCCCTCGCACCGAATTAATTCTGTAAACTGTGGTGAGATGATAGAAGCTTTCCAGCTGTGTGATCATTAATTAACTTGGCTACATGCGAGCAATCTCCGCATTTGCTATCTGCAAAAAGGTTCTGTTGATATATTTTTTTTAATGTCATCTTTTGATGAAGCTTGGTATTTTGTGATTCGCAGCGGGGGGGGGGGAACTGATCCCCAAAAAATGGCAAATAGGGATGAGTCCCCAACATCACTCGCAGAAGAGTAACCTGCAGTCGTAGTAGATTCTGTGCTCTAAAGCTCCAGCCAGAAATAGAAGAGGATAAAAAGGTAAAGGTTTCCCTTGCTCGAAAGCCAGTCGAATCCGACTCTAGGGGGTGATGCTCATCTCCGTTTCCAAGCCGAAGAGCCAGCGCTGTCTGAAGACATTTTCGTGGTCATGTGGCCAGCATGACTAGATGCCGAGGCACACAGAACGCTGTTATCTTCCCATCGAAGCGGTACCTATTTATCTACTTGCAATTTCTTGCTTTCAAACTGCTAGGTTGGCAGGAGCTGGGGCCAGAGACAGGAGCTCACTCTGTCACGCGGCACTGGGGTCTCGAACTGCTGAACTACAGACCTTCTAGTCTGCAGCTCAGCATCTTAACCTCTGAGCCACTGCAGCCCAGAACAGGATAGCCCCCTTGAAAACTGGGAGCTTCAACTGGAACAAAACAACAGCGGCTTGTGGAATCTCTTTTTCCAAATTTGGATTGAGATGGTGTGGCAGTCTATTATAATGGGGTAGTTTCAGAGGGTAGCCATGTTGGTCTGTGGTAGAAGAGCTAGATTCGAGTCCAGTAGCTCCTTAGAGACCAGCAAGATTCGGGAGGTATAAGCTGTCAAGAGGTCAGAGCTGTCTCTGATACCCTGATGGTTGTGACTTGACAACACTTTCTGCCACCACCAATGAAAGGTATTATTTGGATTTTATTCTTGGTTTGGGGCAGCAGGTAGCCTGTGAGAGAACATTTATAGAGGCATAACATCCATATCGCAAGATGTCTTCGTCCCGCTTTACACTGCATTGGTCAGGCTGCATCTGGAGCATTGTGTGCAGTTCTGGAGGCCTCAATTCCAAGAGGATATGGATGGAATGGAGCAGGTGCAGAGGAGAGCGACAAGGACGATCGGGGGCCTGTAGACCAAGCCCTATGAGGAAAGGCTGAGGGCCTTGGGAAGGTTTAGCTGGGAGGAGAAGAGGTTGAGGGGGGTACATCATTGCTCTCTTGAAGTATTCAAATGGCTGTCACTGAGAGGAGGGCAGGAGCTGTTAGCAGCAGAGGATAAGACTCACAATCATGGGTTTAAATTTAGGGCGGGAAGGTGCCAGCTGGATATTAGGAGAAACTTTTTTACTGTCAGAGTTGTTCAACAGTGGAATGGGCTGCCTGGGGAGGAGGTGAGCTCCCCCTCCCTGGCAGTCTTGAAGCAGCAGCTGGACAAAGACTTGTCGGGGATGCTCCAAGCTGATCCTGCATTAAGCAGGGGGTTGAACGAGATGGCCTGTCTGGCCCCTTCCAACTCTGTCATCAGCAAAGGGCCCAATTGCAAGAAGTCTGAGAAGCATTGCCTTCCCAAGGATGCTGCCTTCACCCCATCTCAGTCTTTCTACTCCTCCATCCCGCCTCCCCCCCATTCCTCTGTGTCATGAATATAAAAACAATTCTCGCGCATCCCCGTGGCAAGTTCAGTTTCCCTGCCTCCCGCAGCAGAGAGTTTGCTCTGCAGATGGCCTCTTTATTAAGAACAGCTTCTGACAAGCCATCGAGGCATTTGGGAAGGAGAACAAAGACGGAACTCCAAAGGGCATTAGACTCCGACAGGAAATATTAGCATATTATGCTCTGGTTGTGTTAAGTCATTACTGCTTACCGCTAGCAGCATGCGGAAACGTTCTCATATCTAGCTTCCTTTAAAAATTTTAAAAAGGCCCCAAGTAAGGATGCCGCTCAGAGGTGGTTTCGTAGAAAAAGAGCTAGGGGAACTCATTAGCATAACTCATTAGCATATGCCACACCCCTGACATCACCGGAAGTGTGTCATAAGGCCACACCCCCTGAATGCGCTCGCCCGCTTCGGGAGAGGGGATCAAAGTGTAATACAAGCCTCCTCCGAGACTTGATCACACCAATCTCAACTCTCTCTTGGGTCTTGATGCCTGCCAGTCATTCCCCCTGCCTGGGGGAAGCCACGTTGGACCAAAATACAGTCCAAACTGCTGTAAGGAACACCCGTCCACCCTGAGCACTTACAGGGTGCGTCAAATCGCCATTTTACCCTGACCAGAAGCAGGGGGCGGGGCTTTGTCATGTGCCCCGCCCCCCGCACCTCACCCGGGGGAACGGCGAACCACCGCGATTCCCCCGAATTGACCCCTGATGCCGCTAGATGTGACGCCCTGAGATCCGTGATTGTTTCCCTGTTTTGTTTTCAGGACTCAGCCATGGAGGGGAGGTGCTTAAGTGGAACAGAGATTGAGAATATTTAACCCATCAGCCGTGGTCAATGCTTGGATGAGACCACCAAGGGACTGCTATACAGAGGAAGGCAATGGCCAAACACCTAGGGTTGCCATTCCCCTAACGGTAGTAGGGTTTACCCACTTTTGGGGACCCAATCCACCACCGCCCAGCTGGCCAGGGGAGCCCCATCCCCAAATAGCCCTGCCCGCACCAACATGCCCGGTGCAATGATGTCACCCAGAGGTGATGTCACCATGCAGGGCACGTTGCACAGGGGACACTCTGGCATTTGAGAAAAACCCTATGGTAATCATAGAGTTACTATGGTTACCATAGAGTTTTTCTCAAACGCTAAAGCGTCCCCCCACAACATGTCCTGTGCGATGACATCACTTCCAGGTGATGTCATTGTGGCAAGCACACAAAGTGTGCATGCCAAAGAGTCCCGGGCATGGAGAGGGACCCCTCCACCAGCAGCCAGATAAGACCTGGCAACCCTAGAACCACCTCTGCTCATTTCTTGCCATGAAAACCCCATGATCAGGGTCACCATGAGTTGGTTGTGACATGACAGGACATTCTTCTTCTTCCCATGGTGTTTTCCTGCTCTAATATGCCCCCTCAAAAAACCAGGAGAGGAATGTAGAAAAAGTATAACTGGCTGTGGGCTATGCCGTGGAGGGCCACCCAAGACTGAAGACTCTTGAGAGTCCCTTGGACTGCAAGAAGATCAAATCAGTCAATCCTGAAAGAAATCAACCCTGACTGTTCCCTGGAAGGCCAGATAATGAAACTGAAGCTCAAATACTTTGGCCACCCAATGAGAAGGGAGCACTCCCTGGAGAAGACCCTGATGCTGGGAAAGATTGAAGGTCAAAGAAGACGGGGACGGCAAAGAATGAGATGGTTAGACAGTGTCATCGATGCAACGAACATGAAGTTGAGCCAACTTCAGAGGACGGCGGAAGACCGGAAGGCCTGGCATGATCTGGTCCATGGGGTCGCGAAGAGTCAGACTCGACTGTGCGAGTGAACAACAAATCCTTTCCCCATAGCAGTTGGTGGGGGGAAGAGGGTACCACCAAGTAACTACACAATGTCCTCATATTTCTGACCAACCGTGGAGGCTTAGAAAGAGGCTGTTTACTGGGGGCAAAGAGCTGTTAATGGTGGGAACAGCCCAAAAATTCTTTTAAATAAAAGAACAGAGACCACCTGCTGAGCTCGAGCCGAGGCGCCTTTTGTGTTAGAAATCGATCGCTGCCTACCTGACGTGGTTTTTTGTGTGTTTTGTGGTTCCAGCTTGTTCGTTACAGCACTGAAGGACTCCTGCAATTAGGCCCTCTGGGATCGACAGCATTTCTGCCTGACTCAAAATGCCTCGTAGATGACGGGAAAGGAAGAACTCCCACGCTGAAAAAATGTGAAGACACTTTGAGGCCTGCGCAGAGGCTGTGGGATTTCACACAGGTAATACGACCTGGCTGGAACAGCCTGTGTGTGTGAGAGAGAACTAAGTATGAGTCCACTGGCACCATTTGAACCAGCAAAAGTTTGGTCGTAGTGGTACCACTGGACTCAAACTTAGTTTTCACATCAGTTTGTTAACTCCTTTATTCTCTCTGTATGCTAATTTGCTGTTCACAGGTCTTACCAAACTGCTATAATCCAATCTTCACTGTACTTATTGCTCAGTTACTTATGCATCTTGACTCTAATTAGCCTTTCCTGGCAACTAACCTCCCCTCCCTCTCTCTACATTTGTGTAATGGTTGGCGAAGTCTGTTTCAATGTCTGCATGAACACACGAAAGCTTAGACCCAGAATTAAACACAATTCCTCTTAAAGGTGCCACCGGACTCAAATCTTGTTCTGTTGCTTCAGACCAACACGGCTACCCACCTGAATCTATGTATGTCTGTGCTTGTCTGTCTTTATCTGTGGATGGGTAGATTATAGATTCTTGTTGAACTATGGTGCTGGAGAAGACTCTTGAGAGTCCCTTGGACTGCAAGAAGATCAGATCAGTCAATCCTAAAAGAAATCAACCCTGACTGTTCCCTGGAAGGCCAGATAATGAAACTGAAGCTCAAATACTTTGGCCACCCAATGAGAAGGGAGCACTCACTGGAGAAGACCCTGATGCTGGGAAAGATTGAAGGTCAAAGAAGACGGGGACGGCAAAGGATGAGATGGTTAGACAGTGTCATAGATGCAACGAACATGAAACTGAGCAAACTTCAGAGGACGGCAGAAGACAGGAGGGCCTAGCGGGAGCTGGTCCATGGGGTCGCGAAGAGTCGGACTCGACTGTGCGACTGAACAACGACAACAACAAGATGGGTGGGTGGATGGATGGATGGATGGATGGATGGATGGATGGATGGATGGATTCCATTTGGGGAAGGGAGATCCATAGATGGATGAGTGGGTTGTATTTTCTTAACGTTTCAGATTTTTCTGCAAACTGGGTGCCCCCCCCCCAAGTTTGCAGAAAAACCTGTTTAGTGTAAACACGGGCCTCATCTGTGGATTTATATATCCAGAGTAATAAATATATAGATGATCCAGTAAAATGGATTAGAGAAACGCTGAACTGTGGGTAATATAATACATCCAGTAAACAACAGAGGTCAGTTCCCCTGGAGAAAAACAGCTGCTTTGGAAGGTGGACTCTGGCATTATACACCAAAAGAGGACAAACACACACACACACGCACACACGCACAAAAGAGTGCATGTCCTCTAAAAACAAGGGATATCGGGTAACCCTACCCCTGAGGTCTTTCCCCTCCCCAAACCCACCCTTCTAAGGCTCCAGGCCCATAACTACAGTGGGGGCATCTCGGGGCTAGGCCCCCTGAGTTACTGGCAAGGCCCCACGACTTCCCATCCAGCCCAGGGCCCCCGAGCAGCGGCTGTAGGGAAGGGGCCGGGTACTCCTTTAATTCGATTAGCCAGTGCCCCCTAAGAAATTTAAATGCCCCCAGTTTAAAAAATCCTGGCTACGGGCCTGCAAGGCTCCATCCCCCAGGTATTTCTTAACCCAGAGCTGGCAAGCCTACGGTGACCTTGGACCAGTTACACCCTCTCAGGCTAACCTACTTCACAGGGTTGTTGGGATAAAACTGTAAGCCACTTTGGGTGGCCACTGGCAAGAAAGGCAGGGTGGGTGTAAATGAAGTGGGGAGAATACAAATAAAATAATTCTGCATCAGGTCTTCACTTAGGATACCATCTCTTTTCAGCGCCAAGCTATTTCGATGCTAGTCTGTATCGGCAAGTTTACAATCCCTTCCCCAGATTCTTTTAGTATATAACAGCGCGATTACCAGCTGATTTGATGGCAGCTCCTACATCCTGCAATGCCTTCATTTCTTAGTATAATCTCCATATTTATTTTTTTCCCTCTATCTCTGAGATTTCTGTACTCTTTATCTCCTTCCCAGAATGGACCGATCATCAGCCGAGACACGGGACGGTGTCTAGAAGTAGAAATGTCTAAAGATGCTAATTTTGGGCTGCGACTAGTGGTACAGAGATGCTCGGGGCAGAAATGGATGATCAGAAACTGGATAAAACATGGCCGACATTGATTTCTGGCTGGGAAGACCCCATTTCTTCTGGAATCCTTTGACCAGTATGCAGGCACCCTGCTGAGAGACTTGGGTTCGAGAGGACTGCTGTATTGAGAAGACAGCTCATAGAAGGAGAAGCCGACGATCAGGGTTGTGAATTATTGGACCTAATTGTTTCTTCAAAAAAAAAAATAGCAGGAGACTGGCACCCCATCTAAGACTGCAGAAGGGCAAAACTGTATCTGGGCTGTACCACTTCAGACTGCAGGTGGGGGGGGTTCCATGACTGAGCACCACTCCATTCAAAAGTTCCCTGCATGTAGAAAGCTAGCTCATCAGGGAAGAAGCCTCGGCTAGAACCCTGCCTGCTGACCTGTGGAGGGGATTGTTTTGTTTGGAGAAACATACAACAATCAGAGCCTTCCCTCTGAAATCTGAAGGGGCACAAACCCACAGGCAGGTTTTTGCGCTAGAGAACTCAGCCTCACTTCTCATATCGTCGGGGTGCCCCAGGAAGACTCACACAAAGTTCTTTGGGAGGCCTTGAGAGGATCAAAACAGACCATCAAAACAGACGCTGCTTTCTGCTCTCTCAGAAGAGGGCAGCCCTATTTGGGATGAGTTTGCAAGACTGAGGGGGGTCTCTTGCCTCAGCAATGAAGGGCCTCGGGGAGGGGGGGATGGACATGTTAGCTTTAAGCTGCTGATTGATGCACAACTCCTGTGGTGAACAAAACCATGTGCCTTTTTTACTGTACTTCCTATCTGAGCGGACTGGGAGATCCCACCTCTTCAGCATGTCTGACTAACTCTCTGAACCACCCACCACGACAAAAAAAAAAAGTATCCTGTAAATAAATTACACTGCAAAAAAAAAATCTAATATATAATACATTTCAAGAGTCTTTGCCTGGGAGTCTCTCTGTAAAGTACAGCAAGAGCAGTCTGTCTGTAAAGTAAGAGCAACATTATTCACTACTGTTAGGCGAAGGCGGAGGTAACATTTTGAAAGCAGCGAGGCTGAGTTGGAAGCGCCATCAATGCCCTTTGATCCAGGCATATTTTTCCTCTCCAGGGAAGCTCTGCAAGGAGCCGTATGCAGCCAGAAAGTGAGTTTCATGTACAGCTATGTTTATGCAGAGGTGGGATTTCATTTTCCGTCTTGGGGCTAGCTAGACGCTACATGGAGAGGCCGCTTCTTGTGTACACATACATTAAGGACATATAAGAGCCCTGCTGGATCGAGCCAGCGGTCCATCTAGTCCAGCATTCTCTCTCACACAGTGGCCAGCCAATTCCTCTGGAGGGCATAGAGGCCGAGGCCTTCATAAGAACATCAGAAGAGGCCTACTGGATCAAATCAATGGTCTATCTAGTCCAGCATCCAGTCTCACACAGTGGCCAACCAGTTCCTCTGGAGGGCCAACAACAAGGCAGAGAGACCAAAGACGTCTTTCCCTGAGGTTGCCTCCTGGCTCTGGGATTCAGACTGCCTTGGAACTTGGAGGTTCCATTTAGCCACCATGGTGCTGATAGGCCTGTCCTCCATGACTCTATCTTATCCCCTTTTAAAGATGTTTTTTTCCCTGTGGCCATCAGTACGTTCTCTGGCAGCGAATTCCACATTTTAATCACTCTCTTTGTAAAGAAGTATTTCATTTTGTCCGTCCTGAATCTACTTCCCATCAGCTTCATTGGATGCCCTGGAGTTCTAGTTCTTCTGCCCCCTGTGAGATTGTGGGGAAGGTAGGTTGGGTCCAGAGAACTCAGTGGGGCCTGGAGATCTCCCAGAAATCACATGATGTCCAGATGACAGAGATCTGTTCCCCTGCAGAAAATATCTATTCTGGAGGGATCCATGTTTGAATAGTGGTCCACAGATGTTTTCTGGGTGGTGCACCAATTAAAACACGGAATGAATTGCCGCCTTTAGAAGAAGAAGAAGAGATAGGATTTATACCCCGCCCTTCACTACCCAAAGGTGTCTCAGAGCGGCTTACAAACTCCTTTCCCTCCCCCTCCTCATGACAGACACCCTGTGAGGTGGGTGGGGCTGAGAGAGCTCTGACAGAAACTGCTCTTTTTCAAGAACAGCTCTTATCAGAACTATGGCTTGCCCAAGGTCATCCAGCCAGGTCCAAGTGGAGGAGTGGGGAATCAAACCCGGTTCTCCCAGAGTCCGCACACTTAACCACTACACCAAACTGGCTCTTAAACAAGGTACCTGCAATCCAGCCTACCCAAAGGGGATTACAGCCAACAGGCAACAGCTTCACAACAGGGATGCATTCCCATTTTATGCAAGGAACCTTCCCCAGCAATGCAGTGACTCCAGGCCAAGCCTAGCCACCAGTGGGCTCAGACTGCAGTAACGCTGCATAGGATTGCACTGACTCCACCATTATATTTCAGATCTCATGCGATTCTTCTACAGGAGCATCGATATCTCTGGCCAGCACACTCATTCTTCACACAGAGGAATGATGAACAGTTACAGTGGATGCTTCGTCAGTGAGGGCAGGGTATAAATCAAATCCATCAATAAAATAACTTCAGCTGTCAGCTGGGGCAGAGTGGTGCACATGGTCGACCGGGGGCTGCAGTAGGCACCCACCTGGCATGCTCAGGTCTCCACCATGATAAGAATGTGGTGAAGACATGGTAGATGGTAGACTTGAGAAGCCACTGGGGTTCTAGGTGGAACAGAACTTGTTGAGGGAAGTACCCATATCATCGTGTCCAGTGTTCCCTCTAAGCTGAGTTAGTGTGAGCTAGCTCCCAGTTTTTTAGCCTCTGGCTCGCACAGTTTTGTCTTCGCTCAGGAAGGACGGCTCCAGAGCAAACTAATCGATGCCGTAGCCAAGTCACTCGCTCACAACTTTAAGGCCAGCAGCTCACAAAGTAGAATTTTTGCTCACAAGACTCCACAGCTTAGAGGGAGCATTTGTGTCCTTTCCATCTGGTTCCAGTTTCCCCATAGCTATGGATATTTGGCTTCTCTGAATGAGGTCTAAAAGCATGGTCTAGGGCAGTGTTCCCTCTAAGCTGAGTCAGTGTGAGCTAGCTCACAGTTTTTTAGCCTGCAGCTCACACATTTTGGTCTTCGCTCAGGAAGGATGGCTCCAGAGCAAACTAATTTATGCAGCAGCCAAATTGCTCGCTCACAACTTTAACGCCAGCAGCTCACAAAGTAGAATCTTTGCTCACAAGACTCCACAGCTTAGAGGGAGCATTGATCTAGGGGTCTATTTTCTGGGGAGGAGGGGGAGGAGACTGATGGGGTCATGGTGAAATCTGCAGAACGGAAGAGAAACATGTCAGTTCCTTCAGCAAGCAGCTATGCGGCGGCATCTGCCGCTGATTGCCAAAGTAAGGCTCCCACAAGCACCGATTGCATCATACACATGAACGCACCTCAAGCTGTCTTCTTCGGAATCAGATCCTGGGTCCATCGAAGTCAGTATTGTCTACTCAGATGGGCAGATTCCCAGGCAGAGGCCTTTGGTGACACCTGCTGCCAGACTGGAAATGTCAGGGGCTGAAGCCGGGATCTTCTGCATGCAAAGCAGAGGCTCTTCCAATGAGCCACAGCCTATGGTCACCAATTCCCTCCGGGCTGGACCTCACCTCAGGGAGGTCATGGTTTGTGGAAGGGAGGGACCTCTGCAGGGTATAATGCCATGGAGCCCATGCCTCAACCATGTTCTCCAGGGGAACTAGATCTCTGTTGTCTGGAGAGCAGGTGTGCCATTCCAGGAGATCACCAGGTCCCACCTGGAGGCTGGCAACCATGACTAGGCCACTTCCAGACCAGGGGGGTGCCAAGCGGGCAACAGAAGGCCACCCAGCTGGTGAAAGGTGAGGCAGGTGGTTACAAACTCTGCTGTTTGAGGAGATCGCCTTATGATAACACCAGTCCTGGCTTTCTGCCCAATGCTTTGGTGCTCTCTAAAGTCAAGTTTTTTTCAGATAGGAGCCTTTCCTGCTAACTGGAGGGTCTCTCATTCCAGAGGCTGAGGAGACACTCCAGGTGATTACAGAAAACATGCCTGTCAGTGGGCTGGAGTTCTCCTGAAATGACAACCGACCTTCAGGTGACAAAGGTCCATTCCCCTGGACCAAAAAGGCCAATGCGATCCTGGGGTGTGTATCAACAGAGAGATCACCTAAATTGCAAGATGTCATCGTCCTGCTGTACAGGCCACACCTAGAGTATTGTGTGCCGTTCTGGCACACTTCAAAAAGGATGAGGACAGAATGGAGCTGGTGCAGAGAAGAGCGACGAGGACGATCGGGGCCCCGGAGACCAAGCCCTGTGAGGACAGGCTGAGGGACTTGGGAACATTCAGTCTGGAGAAGAGGAAGCTGAGGGGGACATGATTGCTCTCTTTAAGTATTTGAAGGTGTGTCACTTAGAGGAGGGCAGGGAGCTGTTCCTGTGGGCAGCAGAGGATAGGAGCCGCAATCATGGGTTTAAATGAAGGGCAGGAAGGTACTGGCTGGATCTTAGGGGAAACGTTTTGACAGTCAGAGTTGGGCAACACTGAAATCCGCTCCCTAGGGAGGTGGTGAGCTCCCCCTCACCAGTGTTCCCTCTAAGCTGAGTTAATGTGAGCTAGCTTATAGTTGTTTTAGCCTTTAGGAAGGATGGCTCCAGAGCAAACTAAATTATGCGGCAGCCAAATCGCTCACTCACAACTTTAACTGCAGTAGCTCATGAAGTAGAATTTTGGCTCACAAGACTCCACGGCTTAGAGGGAGCATTGCCGCTCACTGACAGTTGTTAAGCAGCGGCTGGACAAAGACTTTTCAGGGATGCTGTGGGCCAGGGGTGTCAAACATAAGGCCCGAGGGCCAGAACCGGCCCATCCAGGGTTCCTATACGGCCCACAAGCAACTAGTGCAAGGGAGGGAAAGGGAGACTGTTTGGGGGCGGGAATGGGCAGAGCCACTCAAATTGTGGCTTTAGCATGGTAGAACAACCTCGTCTGCAGCCGTCAAGAAGAGTTGGAGCGTCTGCCCAGTGCGGCACTGCTGGCTCTCCAGTCTGCCCATATGGGTTTTCCTTTGGACCCCTCTCACAGCCTACGGGGCTTTGCAGTGAGGATACATCACCTCAGAGCTTACCAGGTGCTGTACGTTTTATATCTCTGGTTTATATCTCTGGTACCTAGCACTATGTTTTAGGGCACACATGGCCTGG